ACAGACAGACAGACACACAGTCAGTCCAGGCAGTGCTGACAGACAGACAGGCTGGCCTGTCACAGGGTGCATGCGCTACCCGGAGGCGTGACAGCTGTTTCCGCTGTCATTCCTGGCCGCTGCCTCAGGAAAAGTTTCTCCTCCGGGCAGGCTGCCTGCCCAGTCCGAAGGCTCTCGGCGGCTTCTCGGCCCGCAGCCCCGGGCAGCAGAAGCAGGTAGGGCACGGCTGCTCCCCGCTCCTYTGTTCCCTTGCTGCCCCCAGGACCCCTCTTCAGCTGGGACTGGTGGGGGGCAGAGGAGGCAGGGGCTATCCAAGCCCCCCATGCCCAAATCAAAGCACTCCACTGGTCTTGGGAGGGGTTGGGGGAATGGCTTTGCCATGTCTGGGGGATGACGTTGCATGGTTTCCTCTCCTGCATGTCCCTGGGGGCACAGAGCTGGGCGAGCCTTGTGGACACACTTGTGTGGGTTGGGGGTTCCTGGTGAGGAGAGGTGGGGCTGGCAGGGCTGTCCTGGCTCCCCCCAGCTCTCCAGCACACCCTCATCCTCTTCCAGCTCTTCTGACCCAAGGTTGCTATGCGAGAGCTGAGTCCCCTGCATCCCCCCTGCTCTCCCCCTCGGCTCTGTGTCACTTTTTTTTTTTTGGGGGTCCCTCAAGGGCTGGAGGGTGCTGAGAGGCTCTGCCCCCCACCCTGGGCAGAGGAACAAGACTGAGATAGTTTGTGGGCAGAGGTCCCATCCCCARCTCCAGTCCTGCTGTGGGTTGAAGGCGTCGGGAAAGCAAGGCACAGCCCACCGGACATTCCCGGAAGGGAGCTCGGCAACTCTCACCTCTCCCTCTGCTGTCTCCAAGGATTTTGCTGGGGGATTAAGGCTGTGCTCACCCCGCGGCAGGAGGGGGCTCAGCCATGGCTTCCAAGCGCCGTGCATCCTCCTCGAAGCAGCCAGACGGCAGGGAAAAGAAAGTGAAAGAGGAAGAGGAGGACGACACCTGRAGCTCCACCTTGGCAGCCCTGAAAACTGCTCCCAAGGAGAAGCCCCCCACCACCATTGATGGGCTGTGCCCCCTGAGCACGGCACCGTGTGCTCGGGTGAGAGCAGGGCTGAGCTACCCGGAGGGACAGGGATGGGAGGGTTGGGGGAGTCCCACAGCAGTCCCACAGTGGACACAGGGTCTGCCCCAAATTTACTTGCAGACCCCCCTGTGTTCCCAGTAGGACATTTCTGCACCTTGTCCTTCCCCAAACTGCGCAGGTGCCAGCCCAGGCCCTGTCACTCGCTGCAGGTCTATGAGGACTATGACTGCACCCTGAACCAGACCAACATCAGYGCCAACAACAACAAGTTCTACATCATCCAGCTCCTGGAGCATGATGGTGCCTACAGCATCTGGAACCGCTGGGGCCGAGTGGTGAGTCCACCCTCATCCCCCACACCTCAGAACCCCACAAGCTGAGGGTGAACCTGGAGGTCCCCCATCCTTTTCCCTGGTCCTAAGCAACCGAGTGTCCTTCTACAGCCCTTTAATGGGAGGGCTTCAAGGACTTGCCCCACACAACATGGCCCGCCTGGCTGGGGCACGTGGCACCTGTCACTGCAGCCCAGCAAGAAGTCCCGGGGTGTCTTCCTGAGCTGGTGGCTCRGTTCCTGCTTGCTGCCCCCCAGCCCTGCCATGACAGCCCCCCTGAATCCTGCCTGCTCCTGCCGGCGTGGGGCTGGTGGAGCAGGGCTGCAGGGGAGATGCTGACCACGGCTGTCCATGTCAGGGAGAGGGCGGCCAGTCCAAGCTCACRCCCTGCTCCTCCCTGGAAGCTGCCAAGAAGGACTTTGAGAAGAAGTTTCGGGAGAAGACCAAGAATAGCTGGGCAACGAGGGACAACTTTGTTGCCCATCCGGGGAAGTACACGCTCATTGAGGTGCAGCCAGGAGCCGGGCAGGAGGYGGAGGTTGCCCTCAGGGTGAGTACTCAGCACCCAGTGTGTCACCATGGTGGGGTGATCCTCATATTGAACAYCRGGACATCCAAGARGGTCAGTGGCATGGGGTAGGTTTTAAGAGGTGTCTGGGTGCATGCTGAAACAGTCTGCAGGCAGGTATTCGGGACTATTGGGCTAAAATGGACTGGGAGGACACACCAGGTGAGGCCTACAGGCTTTCAGATGGCCATTAAAAGTGGAAGCAGCACCTGCCTATTGCTGTGCTGCCCACAGAGACGGACAGCCCTGGTGCCATGCTCTCACAGCCTCTCACAGCCTCTCGCAGGCTCACAGCTGATGTGGGGCATCTGCAGGTGGATGCCGTGGATGGAGACAAAGCCTGCAAACAGCGGGTGCTGCCCTGCACCTTGGACAAAGCCACACAGGAGCTGGTGTCCCTCATCTTCAGCAGTGACATGTTCCGTGATGCCATGCAGACCATGAATATCGGTACGACGTGGGGGTTGATGGATGGCATGGGCTTTTGTCTGGGGATAGCAGGGTGGGAGGTTAATGGAGCAGAGGTGCTGTTGGATTTTAGAGCATTCCCCCTGATCTTGGCACCTGATGGGACGGTAGACACCCCATTCTGGGTGCCCACACTTGCMCATGGTGGAAGTGGCTGTGGGGCAAGCAGGGCGGGTGGGTTCACCCTGTCCTCCCTGCAGATGTGAAGAAGATGCCTCTGGGGAAGCTGAGCAAGCAGCAGATAGCCAGGGGCTTTGAGGCCCTGGAGGAGCTGGAGGCAGCGCTGAGGGAGCAGCCGCCCCAGGCCGCTCGCCTGGARGAACTCTCCTCACGCTTCTACACCATCGTCCCACACAACTTTGGACGGGCACGGCCACCTCCCATCAACTCCCCTGAYCTGCTGCGTGCCAAGAAGGACATGCTGTTGGTGAGATGCCAGGGCACGTAGTGGGTGGCATCCCTTGCCGGTGGGGCAGGAGCTGCTGGCAGGAGGCTGGGCTTACCCTGGTCCCCTGGCACAGTGCCCAAAYCTGGTGATGAGAGTGTCCCTGCTCTGTCCCTGCCAGGTGCTGGCCGACATTGAGGTGGCACAGAGCCTGCAGGCGCAGAAAGTGAAGGAGGAGGAGGAGAAAGAAGTCATCCATCCGCTGGATCAGGATTATGCTCTGCTCTGCTGCCAGCTCTCCCTGCTGGACCCAGCTTCCCGGGAATACCAGGTGCTGCTTGWGCCTCAGTGTCCCATTGTGGGAAGCAATTATGTCAGGCCTGCAGGCACCCCAAAGGTTCCTCCTGTCCCAGGGGGACTGTGGGCTTTGCTGGGATGGCTGCCTGGAGTGACGCAGCTTTCTGGTCTTCCCCCATCAGCTGATCCAAACCTATGTGACGCAGACCGGGCAGAAACTCCGCATCCTCAACATCTGGCAGGTGGCCCGAGACGGTGAGGTGAGGAGGAGGTGATTTTCCCCATGTCATAGYGGGGAAGCCCTGCACCCCAGGATTGTGTTAGGGCTTCTCCATCCAGGARGGGATCCAGCCCAGCTAGCCAGGGCCAAACAGCCACCTGGTCCCCTGCCCTTCAGCCAGGCACYGGGGCTGGACTGAGGAGGTGGGTGGCAATCCTCTGCCCTTGGGCATCCATGTGTCCCTCTGTGGACAGCCCTCAGCTCTGCATCTCTCCAGGATGAGCGTTTCAAGGCCCATGACCTCCTGGAGCACCGGCGCCTGCTTTGGCACGGCACCAACGTGGCGGTGGTGGCGGCCATCCTCAAGAGTGGGCTGCGCATCATGCCCCACTCGGGYGGGCGCGTGGGCAAGGGCATCTACTTCGCCTCCGAGAACAGCAAATCAGCCTGCTACGGTGAGAGTCTTGGGAAGGGCAGGGCTGCTTGTGATGCCCGCAGGGTCTGTGTGAGCCTGGCCACCTTTGCATACCCCTGCCAGGCTGCTGTGGGCACGCCAAGCCCCTTCCCTGCCATGGCAACTGGTCCCTGTGTCCCAGCGTGGCTTGGGTACAACCAGATAGGAACACCAGGGATGGTGCTGTCATCCCCATCTCTTTTCCCATGGCAGTGCGCTGTACATCTAAGAAGGTTGGCATCATGTTCCTGACGGAGGTGGCCCTGGGCAAGCCCTACCACATCACCTGCAATGATCCCACGCTGTGTCAGCCGCCTGCTGGCTATGACAGYGTCGTGGCCTGTGGCCGGACAGAGCCAGGTGAGCCTGGGGCAGGAGAGGTGTGGGGGCCTTGGTGGGCACGGGGCAGGGGGGAGAGAGGCCAGATCTCAAGTTTGATGTGGTGGGGGGTCTCTTGTGGCCCAGATCCTGCGCAGGATGAGGAGGTGCTGCTGGATGGCAAGAAGGTGCTGGTGTGCCAGGGCAAGCCCATCCCCATGCCCGCCTACAAGGACTCCTCCTTCAGCCAGAGCGAGTACCTCATCTACCAGGAAAGCCAGTGCCGGATCCGCTACCTTGTCCAGCTTCACTTCTGAGGGTGCCTGGGAGCACCACAGCCCTGGTGACACCCATCAGCCCAGAGCACAGTAATCTCAACACTCCGGCCACCCCACTTGGCGAGGGACAGGCTGGCGTGGCGACTGAGCTTGCTTTGGTTGTGAATTAAAGCACCGTGCTGTGTGCCGAGCGGTGCTCTTGCTTTCCTGGCCAGCAGGGAAGGGTGATGGTGGGTCCCTGAAGGGTGGCTCTGGAGGGGCTGCAGCCTTGAGGTGAAAGCTGGTGTCTTTGAGAGCAAGCTGCTCTTGTCACCTTAGCAAGGCACAYGGCTCATGCCCACCCCGCGGTATCAGAGCCAGAGGATGAGAAAGATCTGCTGCCCTGCCTGGGCATGGAGGAATTCCTCCATCCATCCTGAGTGTGAGTGCCTGCCCTGCCTCTAGTGCCACGCCTTGTGCCGTACCTGCTGCCCTGCCCCAGCCTGGCACCCATGCCAAGCCCCTCTCTGTGTGCCCCTTGAGCACGTCTGGGTGCTCAGGCTGTCAGGGACGGGCAGCTCCCAGCTGTGTTACCCCGTGAGTATCCATGCATCAGTGGAATSATTTGCTGCAGACCTGCAGCTCTGTCCCTTGAGCCCCAGGCACCTGAGGGCTGAGCTGTTCCTGTGGAAGAACCAGGACTGGTGCAGTGGTGTCCCCCTTCTCTGAGCCCCCGCCGGCTGCTAGGACCCAGCAGCTGTCCCCGTGGGACTGCCACGGGTGCAGGCAGTGCAGGCAGCGCCGGGAGTGTCAGCTGGTGCCATCCGCAGCTGGCGGGCTGCAGGCAAACAGGATGACGAGCGGGTGACGGGAGCGGGGACGGGGGAGCGTGGCCTCACACAGGGCCGGCAGCCCCGGTTCTGCTGCGGCAGCAACACCGGCGAGAGGGACCCTGGCGAGGAGAGGAGCATCACCCATCTCCCCAGGAGCAAAGGTGCGCWGAATCCCACCCACCCGGGGTCCCCTGTGGCCAGAGCAAGAGGGYTGGGACGGGCAAGTTGTGCTGTCCCTCCTCGGGACGTACTGGTGCCATTGGAGGGGGGCTGGGATATCAGCCTGGMGTGGGTGCCCACGGGTCCCAGCAATGCTGTCCCTGGACAGGTTGGGAACAGCCAGGGTGCTGTCACTTCGCTGGCTACTTCTTCCTCCTGCAGCACCTCGCCAGTGTGCTGGTTGTCTCTGTGTTTCTCTGTGGCACTTCTTCATTGAGRTTCTTTCCTTTCACACCCTGCTCCCCATCCCAACAGGCAAGGAGGAGGTAGCGGCCATGGTTGTAGTGGGGTTACCCTCTGTGGGACACAGAAGAAGAGCCCTTGCTGTCCAGGCTCTGGAGCTGCTGGCTTAGCCCTGGAGGGGGATGGCGAGCCGGACGGGGTCAAACACCACGGACAGCCTAGAGCTGCTCTCTGTCCCCAAGCACTCCGTCGCCCAGGAGGTGCTGGGCCTCTTCTGCATGATCCTGCTCACCCTCACCGCTCTGGTGGCCAACATCGTGGTGATGGTCATCATCCTCAAAACGCCCCTTTTCAGGAAGTTCATCTTTGTCTGCCACCTCTGTGTGGTCAATCTCCTCTCAGCCATTTTCCTCATGCCTCTGGGGATCATCTCCAGCTCTTCCTGCTTCAACAGGGTGATCTACAGCATTGCTGAGTGCAAGGCCGTGATATTCCTGAATATCTGCTTTATCAGTGCCTCCATTCTCACCATTTCTATCATCAGTGTGGAACGGTACTACTACATTGTCCACCCCTTGAGGTATGAGGTCAAGATGACCATCAGGCTGGCGGTGGCTGGAGTGATTTTCATTTGGGTCAAGTCCGTTCTCATCACTGTATTGGCACTGGTGGAGTGGCCTCACGGCAATGGGGCCACCAGCGCCAGCCGCTGCACAGTCTACTGGAGCCCTGGAGCCCACAAGAAGGTTTTTGTGATCCTCTTCAGCATCACCTGCTTTATTCTGCCCACCATCATCATCTTTGCTGTCTACTCCAGCATCTACCGCGTRGCCAGGACTGCATCCCTGCAGCAGGCGCCTGTGCCAGCACAGGCAGTTGTACCCAGACAGCGATGTGACTCCATTGCCAGCCAACTGACCATCCTCACTGCCAGGATCCTGATGCTGCCCAGGCTGATCCCAGATCGTCTTCTGGGAAGCAACAAGGCCATCCTCACCTTGGTCCTCATTGTGGGACAGTTCTTGTGCTGCTGGCTGCCTTTCTTTGCTTTCCACTTGCACTCCTCTGTCCCTGTTGGCATTGTGGGTGGTGGCCACGGGGAGATGGTGGTCACCTGGATTGCCTACTCCTCCTTTGCCATCAATCCTTTCTTCTAYGGGCTGCTGAACCGCCAAATCCGTGAGGAGCTGGCCCGGCTCCGGCGCAGCTGCATTAACCGTCCACTGGTTCAGGAGCTCTGCCTTTCCATCTCAGAGGCTTCTGTTCAGGAAAACTTCTTGCAGTTCCTCCAGAGAGCAACTTGCACACTGGAGACCCACACCAGCTGCATCAGCCCCAGTCCCAGGAATAGGCTGGACCAGACCACAACGGGCTTCCCTGTCCCAGGGCAAGCTCCTSAAGAGAGCAGCTGAGAAGGCAGCTCTGTCCCACTGTGCTGGGCGGGAGACCTGCCAGGGATCCATCAGACCTGCTTGCACCAATCTCGTGGATTTGGAGGAGTCCTTGTTCAGGTTTTGCCTCTCTCTGAGCTTATGGTGGAAGGTGGTTTCTCTGCCAGGAGAAGGGAGCAGATCTGGGGAAGTCACATCTCTCTCCTGCTGGCTGGAATTGTCTCTGGCTCCGCCAGCACAGCCCAGTTCCACGGATAGGCTCTCCTCAAGACACGGGATACCAAGGGGCTCCTGCATAGTGGCAGGGGATGGACATGTCCATCTCCACTGCCCTGCTGGGAGCACTCCTGGCCAGCAGGGAAGAGCAGATGTCCCTGGAGCAATGTTCCAGCTAATGCCACTAACACCAGTAACACCAGGGCCCCRAGCACCCTGCAGTCATGGAGACCTCCATCCTTGGCTGTTTAACCCTAAACTAACATCTCTGTGGAGGAGCTCCTGCTTCCTGTGGTGCTGATCAGGAGGACACACCCGCGGGGCTGGCTCTGGCTGTGTCACTGTTTGTCCTGCTGGCATGGCAGCATGCAATGCCTGTGGCCGTGCCTGGCTGTGCCCTCTGTCCCCCTCAGCTGAGAGTGACTGCCCCCCTGTCAGGGGGGGACCTGACTGTCCAGGGGTCCATGCCGGGCTGTTTATGGACACAGCTGCCCAGCTGAAGCCCGGCCAGCAGTGCCACGTGCCGGCCAAACTGGGCTGCTGGCCAAGGGAACACTGGGGTGGACATGGTGACACAGGGTTGGGGGGGGTGGCTGTGTGGGGTGCCCCAGGGCAGCAGCAGTCAGAGGGGATCAGGAGCTGCTGTTCCCCTTCAGTCTCATTGCTTTTGAAAGGTTTGGGGACCCTCACACRGGGTCCCCAGTGCTAGAAAGAGGATTGGACCCGTTTGGGGAATGCTGCACATGTACATTACCCTCAGCCAACCCACCAAGGGCCAGGAATGGTGTTGGCATTGTGGGTTGGAGGTGGCCCTACTTCAGWAGTAATGCAGGCCTCTCTAAAACTGCATTTTGGCCTCTCTAACTGCCCCATGGCAGGGAGGGRGTTCCCAGAAGACACAGAGAGATGGGGCTGAAGGCCAGCATCCCCCTCTGGACACAGGGATGCCCTTCCAGCCACCACCCAAGTACCCAGGAGCTGGGGTCACTCCTGCTCTCATGGAAGTCTCCACCCAGGGTGTGGGATATTATTATTATTGGTATTTCCTTGTAAATTTTATCTTTTTATTAAACCATTGATAAGTTACAAAGGAGGAAAAAATATAGACTCATATATATACAGCATTTCCAAGCCAGCAGGGACTGGCTCTTGGATGGGGTTGCTGGGACACGATTGCCCCAGGGTGGCCCCAGGAAGGGCCCCCCAGCTAGAGCCAGTGGCAGGGGGACTCCTGGAGAGGCCAGGCAGTCCTCATCCAGTGGGACCTGGCTTTTGGGTGCCGGATGGAGTGTGGGCATGAGCAGGATGGCAGGGCAGGCAGGGTGAGGAGCAGGAGGCAGGGGTCCGACACCAGCACAGGGCACTGGGAGAAGGGACCCTAGGCCAGCAGGGACAGCCCCCCACCCAATACCAGGACACATGGTCTCTGTGCAGAAAATCAGGAAGGGGGGCACAGCGCTGCTAGGATGGGCAGCAGGCAACRAAACAGCTCCTTCCTGCAGCGGTCATCACCACTTGGAAGACCCTTCCCTTCCCAGGGGTGGGGGACATGGGGCACCTGGCAGGGGTCGAGGCCAGGATGGGAGGCAGGAAGGTGTCCCTGCTACTGAGCCGCACCCTGGATCCCCGGCCCACRCACCAGTGGGGTTCAGTAGGGCGAGAACTTCTGCCGGTCGGCTTTCTTGGTGCCGTTGGCTGCCGAGATCTTGGTCGTGTAGGTGGTGGTGCCGCCATTGGGACCTGCCACGGAGGATGGGGACAGYGCCAGGAAGGACACCGGCTTCAGACCGATGAAGTTGGAGAGGGAGATGGCGTAGGGGGTGCCCAGCAGGGCAGGGGGGGCTGGGGTGACAGCGGGAAGTGCCGCCCCGGAGCCTGGGGCGAGGGGCTGGGAGAAGCCCATGCCGAGGTCCACRGAGCCAGGGCCTGGTGGCACCTGGGAGGTAGATTTAGCCGTCTCTAAGCTGGGAAAACRAGAAAGAAGGCTGATGGTGAGTACCATGGTGACAGAGTGGGTCTCCCACCGCARCCTTAGGGCGCCAGAACTGTTCACCCCATCCCTTCTGGCACATGTCTCCATGGCACATCCTGGGTATCTCACTGAGCAGGATTAAAAAAAACAGGGCTGAAATCTGGTGGGTCTCGGGTCCTGCACCTACTGCCTCAGGATCTCAAAGCACCACCCAGTTCATCCTTCCTCAAATTGGWCTCGTTGGGGTATCCTCCAAAAGCTGCTTTGGGGTACTGGATAAATGCCACCCCTCACTAGCACCCAGCATGTGCCCTGCCCAGCTGACACCTACCAGGCTGTGATGAGGTACTGAGCCAGGGTGATGCTGACAGGGGTCCCTGTGATGGTCACATGCCGCTCACTGGAGCCCTCGGTCTGGTTGCCAATCTTGATGTGGGCRCCTGACATCTGCCTGATCTCGCTGATCTTGCTGCCGTGCCGGCCAATGATGCAGCCGATGAGCTGAAGGGACAGGGATGGGGTGAGCAGGGAGCAGCCAAAGCAGTCTCGCCAAGCAGGGAGCTCCCAGGGGCTCACCCAGACCTGTATACCTTGGAGGGTTGGTGAAACTGTGGAAGGCACTGGGAGGGCAGRGCCCTGCTTCCCTTGTGCAGACACTGCTTGTTGGGCTCACTCAAGTCCCTCTTGCTGGCATTGCTGGGCTACCACATGCCAAGGCCTTCCCTTGGCATTGCCCAAACCCTTTCCCCCCATTCTGTATTTCAGTTTCCCTCTTCTGTCCCAGCTACACCCCCCTGTTCCAAAGCTCTGGCAGAGCCTYCTCTGTGTGGGACAGTAGGTTCCGGCCTCTGCAAAGTGCCTCTGGGATGGRACACAAGGGTGGGGACAAATGGTGGTCCCTGTCATCATTCCCAGACCAATACATACGTCATTGGGCACCAGGAACTCCTGGGAGCTGCTCTGGGAGCTGGCATCCAGGCCTGAAGGGAGAGACAGAGATGTCAGCCATGGGGATCTGCAGTAGCTCTGTGCCCCTACCCCAGCCCCATACTGAGCTGGTCAGCAGCCCTGGGGACAAACCTGGAGGATCCCTGGGGAGAGGCAAGGAGGATGGGACATAGGCACGAGTTGTAATTTGGTGCTGGTGCTCTCCCACTGTGGGATTGGGGAGCACTAGAGGGTGCAGGGACCCCAGGAAAACAATGACAGGTTTGTGCTGAGTGGGGCAAGTAAAYATGCTGGAGGGACTGGGATGGGTGCAGAGGATGGAAACCCCTTCATAGGGCCAGGTGTCAGCATGGATCAGGAGGGGCACCCACACCCCTTGGGRGTGCATGGGAGATGCTCACCTGGCATCATGGCGGGTGCATGGCCCAGGGGTGCAAAGGGAAGCGTGTGGCCCGACAGCTGCTGCAGCTTCGTCACCTGCCCGGCAGTGTGAGGAGGAGGAAGGTGGTGTTAGGGGTGAAGGCAGAGGGTCCCTTGTGCCCTAGTGCCTCCCAAGGCAGGCACTCCCAGCATCACCCATCCAGGTGGGCACAGACCCAGTGCCTGCAGGAGGGATTGGCTGCCACAGGGACAGACTCACCTCTGCAGGAGAGACCCCACTGTACTGGCCCTGCATGGAGTAGCCCTGGGGAGAGAAAAAGGGCATCCATGGGGAGCCAGATGGGGACCATTGTCTCAGGTCACGCTCCCCTGAGGCAGAAAGACTACCCTGAGCCCACCAGAGTCGCCCCTTGCTGGCTGCCCCCCGGCCACCTCATGCCCTTGGAGATGCTGTGGCCTCTTACCTGATTGGCAGAGAGCAGGATGGTGCCCAGGGAGAGACCAGGGTGGTAGGGTATGGTGGCCCCCTTCGGAGGCGACTGGAGACAGAAGGAAGGAGGTGGGGGAGATGAGAGATGAAGCTGAATGCCCCTGTAGCCCTATGGACCCTCTGCCCCTTCACACCCACAGCAAGCTGGGCATAGCCCCCAGCACYACTGAGGCAGGGTGCTCCTATGGGTTTCCACACAGGGGGACCCTGGTGTTTGGGTCCAGGTGGGCATGGGAAGCCTTGGGGAAGGGGAGTGGGTAGCAGATGCCCCCTGGGCTGGGCATGGGCCTTGGCAGGTACCTCCAGAATGACAGCGCAGATCTGCCTCACGCACTGGATGATGGTGTCTGGCACCCCCGAGAYGGTGACAGCCCGTTCAGTGGAGTTGGGCAGCAAGTCACCAGCTACCTGCACCTGTGCCCCTGTGCTCTGCAGGAAGCAAAGGGAGATGATGGTGTCCCCCAGCCTCTCCCTGCCAGGGCTCAGCACCTCACACATCCCCTGTTCCCCTTCTGAGCCCCCAGAGACAATTGCAGGACCTGCAGGGTGATGCTCTCCCTCCTGGATCACCTCCCACAGTCCCTGCACGACTGTGGCAGCCCCAACACTCAGGGCTCTGTGCCCCTGGGAGACAAAAGGATCCCACATCCAGGCTACCCTCAGCCTCACCTCCCGGATCTCCCGGATCTTGGCTCCCGCCTTGCCGATGAGGGAACCGCACTGGCTGGCCGGGATGACAAGGCGCAGGGTCACCGGTGCTGACACCCCATCGCCCCCTGCTCCCAGGTCCTGTAAGGGATGTGGGATGCAGTGTCAGACCCCCAGGACCCCGCAGGTGTGCGGGCAGMTTGGTGGGGTTGTAGGAAGGCTGTCTACCTCCTCCAGCTTGAAGGCGATCATGGACACAGCRCGGAAGACAGCGTCGGTGGAGCCGGTGATCGTGGTGATGCGCTCGGGGCAGGACCCTTCCGAGATGGTGATGCGTGCGCTGCTCTGGGGACAGCGTCACACCTCGTTAAGGATGTCACAAAMCCTGAGCTTCATGACTTCCCCCAGGGATAGCCTCATAGGGGAAGATTGATGCCTTCAAGTCTGAGCCTTCCCCCTCCCAACCCTTGAAGGCCCCAAGAAGCCTTCCCTGGGGTGCTGCTTTGTTTTCCCAGGTTCCACCTGGGATTTAACGGGCCAGGCACGTGGAAGCCACCAGGTTGCATGACAGGCAGCAGGACCTGGCAGTCCCCCAGCATGCCCTTACCTGCTCTCGTATCCTCTTAACAGTCTCTCCTTTCTGCAGGGAAGCGAAAGGAAGGGGATGGGTGGTCAGGTCCAGGCGAGCCAAGGGCTGGCAACACACAGGACCCCAAATCTTACCTTGCCGATGATGCTGCCGATCTCCTGCAAAAGCAGAGAAGAGTGGCACTGTCAGCAGGCAGCTCCCTGCCTGCCACATCCCTCCTCTRCCCACAGCCTGGCAAGGGGCAGACCCTGCCCCAGGGACACTGGGTGACTTCACWAGTGACACTGGGGCATGGGAATGTGCCCCTCACTGGCTTAGGATGGGGAAAGAAATCCTTCTGGGAATGCTATTCCCAGGGGAAACAGGGAGCAGGGGAAGRAAACAGGGCATGGTGAGAAGCTGGAGCTCCATCATGGCCCCTCAGCCCAGGCATCGTTGACCCCCAGTGGCATTGAGTCCCCTGCCATTACCTTGCCATGCATGAGCATGCGGAGGGTCAGKGTGATGCTGAGCTCCGTCTCCTCGGGACTGCCACCCACACCACTGGCTCCGTCCGGCGATGCCATGGCGGGAGGGCGAGATGAGCCTGTGAGACATGGTGGTCCTCAGAAAGGAGAGATGCCCCAGCTAAACCCCCCACCCCCAGATCTGCAGCTTGAAAATCCTATGGCAGGGAAATGGGGAAACTGAGGTGGGGCAGCAATGTGCATGCAGGCACGTCTGGCATGCAGGCTGACGTGACCCCATGGCACCCCATGGGCACCCTGCACCCCAAAAGGGACCCACTGCTGTGCTGTGCATCTGCCTGAGCTGCCTTCAGTCTGTCCCGCACAAAGCCAGGAACTGCATGGGTACAGGGGGAAGAAGAAAGGTGTRGCTGTGGGATAGGGCTCTGTTTGCAGGTGCTTGCTGGAGTGGGGAGAGCAGAGGTGACCTGGGTGGTCTCACAGGCTATGCAAGTCACCTTCTTTCTCCTCCTCTCTTCCCACTGCCTATGTGCAAAGCCCCAGGGGAAACTGAGACCAGCTCCCCGATGGGCACCACCCGAACCAAACCAAGCATGATGCACACTGCCTGCTGCCGCTGCACCCTGTSCCCCCCAGAGCACCCCAGCCCCGCCCAGAACCCCGTGCCCCGGTGGCCGGGGGCGGCCAGTGCCCCTGGGAAGAGGACAATTACTGTGTGTCCAGGCCCGGGTGGGCGGCTGCGGCACCGCTGGCTCCCGGCAAGCTGGGCGATGCCAAGCAGCTTTGAAACAAAGCACCCGTGTTGGGGCTGGGGCCGTGTCTGCGGGCATGGCGGGGGGGGGGGGGCGGCTATTTTAGGTGCTGGCAGGACTCGTCACCGCTACAGCACATCTCCTGCATCAGGGTAACGGGGGGGAGGGGGGGCGGCACCCCCTAAATGCTACAGCTCGCACCCCCGGGGTGCTTTGAACACTCCATCTCCACCCTCCTGTTACCGCGGGCTGGAGAAAGGTGGAGAGAGTGAAGAAGGGGAATAATCCCCTTCCTGATGCAGGGGAGCCTGAAGTGGGGCGGAGGGGGAGGGATGCACCCTGCCCACGGCATCCGGACCTGTATGTGGGGCCGGCAGGGACGCGCAGCCGGCCAGGGTCCCCAGTCCCCCTGGGGATGAATGGCAGCGCGAATCCGCCACGGACAAAAGAYCCCGCCGGGGGAAGAAGGATGAGGGTGGCGGGGAGGGGCGGGGGGAATGCAGCAGGGCCACGAGTGTACCCCCAGTGCCACAGACAACGCGTGGGGGGCCTGTGGGCAGGGGGGTGCTCTCCCCCAGGTGAGACAGGCTGGCAGGGACGCCCAAGGCCCCGGTGATGGGCACAGGCCACCTGCCACGGCTGGCATTGGGACAGCCAACAGGCTGGGCACCGCCCGTCCTTCGGGGCACCTTCGGGTGGCAAAGGGAGGGGGGACGACAGGAGGAAGCCCCCACCCCGGCCCCGGGGAAACCTCTCTCTGCTCGCCCTCCCGGCCGCCCCAAGCCCCCTGGTCCCCGCGGGAGCGGGGCCTGGCGGGTACCTTTCCGTGCGCCTCGTCCCTCCACCGCCGGCCGCCCCGCTCAGTGCCACATTGTCCCCGGCGGCGCCCAGTGACACCCGGGGCAGGAACAATGAGTCGCTTGACAGGCCAGGGCCAAGCTGGCAGCCCCGGCCCCCACCCCGGTCCACGCCGGGGCCCCCCTCGCTCTTCCCCTCTCCCACATCCCTCCCTCCGGGATCCTATTACAGCGGATAAGAGACACTAAAAGGAACAATGCACCCTGGGTAAGGCCATCTGCCACCGCTGGGGACATTCCTGGCCCCCCCGGCTCCCCCCCCCCTTTGGCTCACACATCGCCCCTCTTTGTAATTGCGTGTTTTTTTTCCTGGAAGCCGATCAGCTGGCAGGGCTCGAGGGCTCAAGGACACCGGAGCGGGCAGGGATGGGGCAGCTGGCACCCCAAGGCCTGCTGGGCACCCCGAGCTGCTGCTGTGAGGGAGTGCCTGGAGGGGCTGGAGGCACCCCTGTATGGGGGGGCCGGGAGTGCAACAGGGGACTGAGCCATCTGAGGGGTCAGGGATGTTCCAGACAGGGCTCGTGCYGCACTGCCAGGGCAAGCACCACCTCCTGTACCCTTGTGCCCCCCACACGCGCATCCTGCACCCACAGAAAAGTGCCCCCCTCCATTACCTCCCCCACTAAATCCTCCTGGCGTAAGCAGCTAAAGCCCAGGCAAGCTTCGGGAAGGGGGGGCACTGGGGAGGCACCCTGCTGCTGGTTCCATCTGTGCCCCAGAGTGCCCGGTGCAGCAGCACCAAAGGCAGAGGAGGCAGGTGGCAGGCAGGGGTCTTGTCCCCCCGTCTGTCTGTCAGGTCTCCCTGCCCGCCCCCTCATCTGGCAGCCATGGTTGGGTAAATCGCCCCCCACCTCCCCAGGGCGCTGGGCGGATGCYGCCGTGGGCAGGAGCCAGCCGGGTCTGGCAGTTCCCTTTTAAGCCCGTGGATTACCCTGGACTTGGGTGCTTGCCAGGAGGGGTGGGAGGAGGAAGAGGAGGATGAAGAGGCAGGTGGCAGGCTGGGGACACGGCTGTCACTACCTTGAGGGACCTACCTGTCCCTGAACACAGCCTCAGGGCTCCCTGGGCACCCTCTGAGGCTCATGGGGGTCCTGTCAGAAGTGATGAGTGGGCTGAGGCTTCCAGTGAGGCTGCCTCTCACCCACCCACAATCCCCAAAGGTACCATTCCTCAGTGGCTGCATCTTCCCTGTCATCCCCCAAACCGGTGTGGGACAGCAGCCATGGAGGTGGGGATGGGGGAAGGAGGTGTGAAGGGTAGAAAAGAAGCAGGWTGAAGGTAGCAGGAAAGCTTAGGGTTTTATTTGGTCCCAAGAGAGATGAGTGCTGCATGGGCCAGTGCAGTGTGGGTGACAGCTGAACAGCTGGGTTGGCACAAGAGTGCATGTGCAGGCAGAGGGGTGGGTGGACTGGTGACATCCTCCTCCCCTGTGGTCCCATCCTGCTCATTTCAGCTGCTGCAGAAAGGCCAGGAGTCCACGGTGCCACTCATTTGGCTTGTCCAGGTAGCAGGCGTGCCCTGCACCCTGCAGCACCAGCACCTGGTGCTCAGGGAGGTGCCGTAGGTTGTTCAGGCTGGTCTCCCCCAGCTCCACGTCCTGGTCCCCGTACACAATCAACGTGGGGGTCTGTAAGRGGTAAATGTACCTTGAGCCTGCAAGTGTCACCAAGCACTTACTCCTCCTGGCCAGGGACACYCTGGAGGGAAAACACTTGCCCTTCTCTCCCACCCAGTATGACAAAGGGAAATGGAAGCTGTGTCTCCAACTGTCCCCTCTTTCCCTTCCACTAGCCCACGTTTACATTTCTTCATCATCTAGTACCCCTTTTTTGGTGGTAACAGGGTTTTGGGYTTGTTTGGCCTTTCCCCTGCCCAACCCTGGTGCCAGGGTCCTTCTTCGCCATCCCCTCCCAGTTTCCCAACTTCCCGCAGTGCCCTTCCAGGCCGTACTTTGATCTGGGCATACTGCTCCGCCGTGAATTTGTCAGTGCAGATGGGTGCCACAGGTACATAGGCCTTGAACAGTTGGCTGTGCTCTAAGAGGAAGGGCAGGGAGTACATGCCACTGARCGATGGGCTGATCACCACAGCTGGACCCAGGCACAGAGCCTCTGACACCGCCTTCAGGAACGCCGCCGGTGCTGGCTGGCCCACGGGTGCTGGGGCCACGGCATCCTTTGAGCGCCCCAGCCCTGAACCGTGGGAGACAGAAGTAGCCGTGTCAGGCTCCACACTGCTTCAGTGACCACGAGCAGCCAGCACAGCACAGCAGAATGCAGGGGTTGCCATCCTGGCACAAACCCAGCAGCTGCCCCACCTGGCTCCAGGGCTGTGCTCACCATCACACCTTACCCGGCAGGTCGATGGCCACGGCTCGGTAGCCATTCTCAGCCAGCGTGGCGAGTGTCCCCACTTGCAGCCAGGTTTCAGAGGAGAAGCGGATGCCGTGCAGCAGCAGCACTGTCAGCTTCGGTGGCTGGGCTGGCTCAGCTTGGCGGTAGAAGAGGGTCTGTCCTTGCACCGAGACAGTGCTTTCGGTGATCTGCGGGGCAGCCATGCCTGGGGGCCGAGGGGGTGTTAGTGGGGTGAGAGATGGGAACGGGAGGGCTCATGAGYCTTCTGCCGCCGTCGAGGCCCGGCGGTGGCAGGAAGGCAGGAGAGCTATGAAGGGTCACACTGGCATCATCCTCACGGTGGTGGCACCAGCGGGGTCGCTGATGTGCCAGGCGGGCTCACGGGCCCGCCCCGCCTCAGCTTCCCCTTCCAGCGCTGGGCTTGCAGCCCTTACCTGCTGCTTCGCACACCGGGCGGACGGCCGCTCGTCTCTTCCCCGCCGCACCACGGGGCTAGGGGTGCCGCGCCCCGGGGCCAAAGACCGGCGGGGCGGGCGAGAGAACGCCGGTACCGCCTCATTGAGCGCAAGGTCCGGGGCGGCCCCGGGAACCGCTGAGGCCCCGCCGAGCCGGGCCGAGCCGAGCCCTACCCCGCCAAAAGAACCCGAGCTTTGCCGAGCGCAGCCGAGCCTTGCCGAGTCTTGCCGAGCCTTACCGAACTCTACCGAGCCAGGCCGAGCCCTGTAGAGCCGAGCCGAGCCGAGCTCTGTAGAGTCGGTTTGAGCTCAACCCGAGCCCTACCCGAGCTCTGGCGAGAGTCGCCGAGCTCTTGACGAACATAGCCGAGTTRTGCCGATCCGGGGCTCCACTACCGGCCCCGGCCGTTGTGTCCCTCGGGGCTGCAGTGTCGCGGGCTGCCGCGAGGCGGAGCCCGAGCACGCAACGGCGCCGTGCGCGGCG